TTTTTTTTTTTTTTGCAGTTTTTGACTGGGGCTGGGTTTGAACCTGTCACCTCCGGCATATGGGGCCAGCGCCCTACTCCTTTGAGCCACAGGCACAACCCTCTCCACATTTTCTTTGTAGAATGGGGAGAGGCAGAATTTGGTCACCACATTGAGGACTGTGGGACTCTGATTTTTGTCTTGGCCACAGACTGTGCTTTCTGTGATGGGCACATTCTTGACGAAGGTCTGTGATGCTCTGTATTCCCAGGGGGCAACTTAGGGGTTCAGCCAGCACCCTCATCAGGCCCTTCACTACCATCTGGGATATGATATTCTTCAGTATCCAGAAGGATATGCTTCCCAAATTGTAGAGTTCAACTTGGATTTTTAGCATTGTTCAGTTTCATGTTATTTCTTTGGGATCTAGCAGCTGAATTTCATATTGCAGGAAATAAAAAGCTACACAGTCCTAGCCTCATAGCTATTTAAATATGACAGCTTGAGGAAAGGGAGAGTGAGGGCCAGCTGGTCCCTTATATTTTTTGAATAGACAAAAGAAACATATTTTTTGGTAGTTTAAACTTTTTCGTTCTTATTCACAGCTGTATTTTAATGTTTCCTTGGTAATTCAAGTCAATGAATGTATTTATTAATGACGCTGTATTTACTGCTTTGCTAGATATATTAAGCTGGCCAAAGGCAAACCACTTTGATGAGAAGAAGAATTCCTCTAAAATATGTGTGTGTATGCTAGGTCTAGTGGTTTACGCCTGTAATCCTAGCACTCTGGGAGGCCGAGGCAGGTGGATTATTTGAGCTCAGGAGTTTGAGACCAGGCTGAGCAAGAGTGAGACCCTATATCTAAAAATAGCTAGGTATTGTGACAGGTGCCTGTAGTCCCACCTACTTGGGAGGCCGAGGCAAAAGGGTCACTTGAGCCCAAGACTTTGAGGTTGCTGTGAGCTATGACACCACAGCACTCTACCCAGGGTGACAAATGACTCTGTCTCAAAAAAATAAAATAAAAAATGTGTTTTGGGCTGGCGCCTATGGCTCAAAGAGTAGGGCACGGGCCTCATATACCGGAGGCGGTGGGTTCAAAGCTGGCCCTGGCCAAAAACTGTAAAAAAAAAAAAAAAAAAAAGTGTGTGTGTGTCCACATACACACTTGGTCTAGTATGTCTTAGTGTGTATATGCTTAATATGCACATCCATCCACATGTATATATATATAAATACACATACATAAGCCAGCATGTCATTCAGACGCATGTTACTACTCTATTAAATAGGTTGGGAGATTCAGAAAGGCTTATTAAAACCATAGGTGGTGTTCATTGTACCACATGTTCAGACATTCATGACCTAAAGAATGCCAGGAAATTGACCAAAAAGCAGGTTCTATTTCCTTTCTCTTATAATATTTTAGTTATACTTTACTCATCTAGAATAATTTCATAATGTCCATGTAATTTTAATCCTTGGTTAGTCTTGTAGTAGAACTGACCAGCAATCCTTCTGGTACAGAAGAACTTTTTCCTTTTTGCAAATATGAACTTCAAGATGAGTGGGCAGAAAACAGTTGCCACCTCATGTATATAAAAGCATTTTCCATTTGTCACAGAATTTGAAAATACATATGTATTTATAGTTGCCTGTACTTTAGGCTTTTAAAGGTTTATTTTCATCATGCCAATTATTAAAGCCATTCATTTTTAAATTATGCGAGAACTTCATGAAGGTATTTTATATTCCTGTAGCTTTGGGAATAATGAAGAGTAAGAAGTGGCTTGGTGCCTGTAGCTCAAGCAGCTAAGGCGCCAGCCACATACACCAGAGCTGGTGGGTTTGAATCTAGCCTGGGCCTGCCAAACAACAATAACAACTACAACCAAAAAATAGCCGGGCGTTGTGGTGAGTGCCTGTAGTCCCAGCTACTTGGGAGGCTGAGGCAAGAGAATCGCTTAAGTCCAGGAGTTGGAGGTTGCTGTGAGCTGTGATGCCGCGGCACTCTACCCAGGGCTACAGCTTGAGGCTCTGTCTCAAAAAAAAAAGAGTAAGAAGTAATAAACATAGGTAGGAATTGCATTAATATGTAGAAAATCTGGGCTCGGCGCCTGTGGCTCAAGCGGTTGAGGCACCAGCCACATACACCTAAGGTGGCGGGTTCGAATCCCCAGCCTGGGCCCGCCAAACAACAATGATGGCTGCAACCAAAAACATGGCCGGGCGTTGTGGCGGGCGCCTGTGGTCCCAGCTACTTGGGAGGCTGAGGCAAGAGAATCGCTTAAGTCCAGGAGTTGGAGGTTGCTGTGAGCTGTGATGCCACGGCACTCTACCCAGGGGGATAGCTTGAGGCTCTGTCTCAAAAAAAAAAAAAAAAAGAAAGAAAATCTGAGAAAAAGTGGGTATTTTTTTTAAGTATTTATATTATTAGAATATATGAGCAAAGGTTTTGCTCTGACCATATTTTTCTCAGTTTCCTAGAAATTTTCTTGAATTTCTTTTTATTCATCTATTTGGCAAATATTTTCTAGTGTATACTCTGTGCTTTTACTAGGTATAATAAATAAGGTAGGAGAATACTGGGCCCAGTGTCTCATGCTTGTAATCCTAACGCTCTGGGAAGGCTGAAGTGGGAGGATCACTTGCGTTCAGGAGTTTGAGACCAGCCTAATCAAGTTTGAGACACTGTCTCTTACAGAGCCTCAAACTGTCGCCCAGGGTAGAGGGCTGTGGCATCACAGCTCACAGCAACCTCCAACTCCTGGGCTTAAGCAGTTCTCTTGCCTCAGCCTCCCAAGTAGCTGGGACTACAGGCGCCCACCACAATGCCACAATGCCTGGGTATTTTTTGGTTGTAGTTATCGTTGTTTGGCAGGTGTGGGCTGGATTCAAACCCGCCACCTCTGGTGTATGTGACTGGAGCTTTAGCCTCTTGAGCTATAGGCACTGAGCCCAGTTTTTATTTTTATAGCTAAGTAGTACTCCACAATATACAGATATCAAAATTTATTATATACTCATGTATTGATGGGTACTTGGATTGTTTCAATCTTTGCAATTGTGATTATACTGTTATAAACACTTGAGTGCAGGGGGGAGCCTGTAGTTAGTGAGTAGGGTGCTGGCCTCATATACCAAGGGTGGCCAGTTTGAACCCTGCTCTGGCCAAACTGCAACAACAAAAAAATAACTGGCCTTTAACCACCCCAGGTCACTGCCCCTTAAGGGTATGTCTGCCTTTAACCAACCCAGGTCACTGTCCCTGAAGAGTATCTCTGCCTTTGCTCTTTGGGTTTTTTGTTTTTTTTTTTTTTTTTTTGAGACAGTCTGTCACCCTGGGTAGAGTGCTGTAGCAGCAACGTCTAACTCTTGGGTTTAAGCATTCTTCTTGTCTCAGCCTCCCCAGGTACCATGCCCAGCTAGTTTATTTATTTTTAGTAGAGATGGGGTCTCATTCTTGCTCAAGTTGGTCTCAAACTCCTGAGCTCAAGCACTCTACCCCCTCAGCCTCCCAGAGTGTTGGAATTCCAGGCATGAGCCAGTGTACCTGGCCAATTCCTCCTTGCTCAATATTCTTCCCTTCTATCCAGTTTTACCTATTCTTGGGGGCCTATCTGAATTCCCATGTCCTGCAAGAGACCTTACCTTGACTTTGGCTTCATTCAGTTTGGGGTTTAATCATGTTCTGTGCATTCTGCCTTACACAAGGGGCTCGCGTTTATGCTAGTGTGCTTATGGAGCTCTTGAGAGCAGGAACCATGCCTCTTAACTTCCCTGTGCCATGCACAGCTTGCACACACTTGCCCACACAAGTGTTCAATGGAGACTCAGTCCACTGAACTAAATCAGATGTCAAAGAGAGAGATGATCATTTCTGCCTCATTTCAATCAAGATGTTAACCAAAACAAAATTCAATTCAGAGGTTCCATTTAGGTCTGGCATCCCACATACTTAAGAGATTCTTTTTCCTTTTTTGAAGTCAGAAGAATCTTTTTTTTTTTTTAAGAGACAGAGTCTTACTTTGTTGTCCTTGGTAGAGTACCGTAGCGTCACAGCTTACAGCAACCTCCAGCTCTTACACTTAGGTGATTCTCTTGCCTCAGCCTCCCGAGGAGCTGGGACCATAGGCGCCCACCACAACACCCAGCTTTTTTTTTGTTGTTGCAGTTTGGCCAGGGCCAGGTTCGAACCCTCCGCACTCAGTATATGGGGCCGGTGCCCTGCTCGCTGAGCCACAAGCGCTGCCCCAAGAATCCTTTTCTACTATTTGATAACTTTACTAATGATGTATTTTGCTTGTCTTCAATAGGCTGCATGTTAAACAGCCAAGAGGTAAGACTCACAATCCACTATGAAAATGGGTTCACTATCTCCAGGGAAAATGGTGGCTCCAGCAGCATATTGTACCGCTACCCCTTTGAAAGGCTGAAAATGTCTGCTGATGATGGCATCAGAAATCTATATCTGGATTTTGGTGGTCCAGAGGGAGAACTGGTAAGATTGTTATTGAAAATCATAATCATATTAGGTATTCTCTTTCCTTCTCATTAAGTCTTAACTCTTACATAAAGTTATGCAGGCCAGGCCTGGTGGCTCACGCCTATTGTCTCAGCACCGTGGGAGGCCAAGGCTGGTGGATTGCCCTGAGCTCAGAGATTGGAGACCAGCATGAGTCAGAGTGAGACCCCATCTCTACCAAATAATTGCCGGGCGTTATGTAATCCCAGCTACTTGGGAGGCTGAGGCTAGAGAATCACTTAAACCCAAGGACCCAGGGGTTGGCGGAGGTTGCTATGAGCTATGATTCCTCAGTACTCTACTGAGGGTCACAAAGTGAGACTCTGTCTCCATAAAAAAAGAAAATGAAAGCAAAAAACCAAAAAGTTATGCAATATAAAAAAGAAATTATGGACTGACATTCCATTTGGAGCCAGGATATTTTTCTTCAGTTTTAAGGTGGTTTGGGGGCTTGGCACCTGTGGCTCAAGGGGCTAAGGCGCCAGCCACATACACCTGAGCTGGCGGGTTCGGATCCAGCCCAGACCCACCAAACAACGACGGCTGCAACTAAAAATAGCTGGGCTTTGTGGTGGGCGCCTATAGTCCCAGCTACTTGGGAGGTGGAGGCAGGAGAATC